TCGATACAATGGAAGGAGAAATAAACTTTTCACAAGTTGCTATTCTAATTTTTTATGGCGAAAGTTATGACTTATGGACTGTGAGAATGCAATCCTATCTTGAATGATTGAATATATGAGAAGTTGTGGAAGAAGATTATATTGTTAATCCGCTACCTGAAAATTCTACCATAATTCAAATAAAATTTCACACACAAAGAAAACGAGGAAGAAAAAAACTAAATCATGTCTGTTTGTTGGTATTTCATAAATGATCCTCACCAGAATCATGACGTTAAACTCACCTAAAGAAATTTGGAATTATTTGAAAGATCAATATGAAGGGGATGAGAAAATTCAAGATATGAAAGTTCTAAACTTGATAAGGAAATTTGAAATACAAAGGATGCAAGAGTTTGAGACAATTAATGAATACCTAAACAAATTGTTGGGTATTGTTAACAAAATAAAATTGTTATGCAAGGAATTTTCTGATTCCATAATAGTTGAAAAAATTCTGGTAACTGTGTCAGAGAGATATGAAACATTTATTGCTTCATTAGAAAATACAAAAGATTTTTCTAATATTACTTTGGCAGAAGTGTTATATGCTTTACAAGTGCAAAAGCAGCGAAGATTGATAAGAGGGGATCATGCTGAAGCTTCTTTACTATTTCATGGCGAAGGCTTTCTCCAAGGCAAGAATAATAAAGGTACAAAATTACAAGTTTTTCTGTTTGTCCTTATTGCAAAAAAAATAATCACACACCCAAAAAATGTTGGTGGAGGCATGATGTGAAATGTAAATCACAACTAGAAAAAGTCGTCAAGGTCATAGAAGATGAAGTAGAAGGGGAACTTCTTCAGGTTATAGAGAATGACGTAGAAGGTGAACTTCTCCTTGTATCAACATGTTCTACAATCAACAAATTCACATGTTGGCTTACAGACAGTGGTTGTACAAACCACATGACTCATAATCGAAAACTTTCAAATAGTTCAACGAATCACATATTTTTAAAGTGAGAATCGGTAATAGAGAATAAATGGTAGTACGGGAACAATTGCAGTTAAAAGTCATTTAGGTATCAAATTAATTTTTGATGTTTTATATGTTTCTGATATTAATCATAATTTATTAAGTGTTGCTCAATTATGAGAGAAAAGTTATAAGGTATTTTTTGAACACAAACTTTGTGTGATTAAAGATACAAATAACTTAGAAATATTCAAAATTCACATGAAAGAATTTACTTTAGATTTGATGTTACAAATGAGGGTATAAAAGAAAGTTAAGGAAAAAACATGAAGAATATTTCTTGAAAGAACTTGATGTTAAGGAGGAATATAAAAATGTAGATGAAGAAACCGTTTCCAACTTTAATCAAAGAGTCAATGGTACTATCATAAAGTTTGAAAGAAACAAAGGAGAGGAAGTTGATAAAAGAATAAATGCTTTGATGAAAAAAGTGAAGTTAAACGAAGATGTGATCTCATACAAAAAGGAAGATGACAATAAGTACAAACAAAAAAGAAAGAAAAATTCTAAGCAAAATCAAATGAAGAATATCAAATTCAAATAAATAGATATTAAAGTAAGGAAGAATGTTGGGAATATTACTTTATTATCTTTTATTTAAATTAAGTATTAAGATATTTTATTATCTTTTAAGAGAGAATATAAAAAGATATTAGATTATTATTTTGATTTAGACAGTTATGATTGAGATATTATTAATATTTGATATTTTGTAATATTTTTACTCTATATATATATAGAATACATGAATAAAAAAATATACCATGATATATCGAAATACACATATACAAAATTCTAAAATTTCTCATCAAAATGGTCGTTGTATCATCGAAGACTTTGTAGAGATCGCACAATCTCAGTTTTCATCTAATTAATAAGATAGTTGTGTAAAAATGGATGGGTGAATAAAAAAGTTGTTGTGATAGGAAAAAAACAATTGAATTGGATTTCACTAGAACTCTTAGCAACGTATTATATATATATATATATATATATATATATATATATATATATATATATATATATATATATATATATATGAATTCAAATCTTAATTTAAAGTTCAATAAATTACTCTAGATTAATCCCTTAACACTAAAATTCTAAGAGTCTTAAGTAATTAATTAATTCCTTGAAAATCTGTTTAAGAAATTTGCATTAAACACAAAACATTTTTAATACAATAAATTTAACTTTGTTCTTATTGTTTAAATTTAAAGTTTATTTTGATTCATGTCAAAAACAAAAATGTAGATCTATTTCTTATAAGATTAGATTTCTCCAATTTAAAGCATTAAAAACTTAATATCTATTTCTAAAATTATGAGATTAGATTTCTCTAATTTAAAGCATTAAAAATTTAATTAGATCAATATCTCTCTCTCTCTCTCTCTCTCTCTCTATATATATATATATATATATATATATATAAAGTTTCATAATAGTATTGGTTATATTCAATCCAATAAAAGAGAGAGTAGTAAGGAGAAGAAGAATCCTATAATACAATAAAATCATATCTAAATTGTCCAGTTTTTATTCCCAAAATTTAGCTCTAAAAGTTTCGTGCTCCTTTTCTGTCCGTATACATGTTTTTTTTTTCCTCTATCTCATAAGTGTCAAAATAATTTAAATGAAATATTTAGAAATTTAAGAAAGATATTAGATTACAAAAAGATTACAAAAAGATTATATTTTTAACTCTACCTGTTATATCTAGATAGATTTAGTTCTATTTTATGGGCTCATATATTTTATAAAATAATATTTTTTAATAAAACATTATTTTATTATAAAATATATTTATATTATTAATTAATTTGATAAAATATATACTTATTTTAATAATAAGTCATTAATATTTTTTTTGATGTAATGGTTAATATAAATGATTATATTAAATTATTAATAATAAATATTTAATTCTTATTTTGAGAATAAATAAATAAATTCTATAATAATTTATATATTAAATAATTAAATTTAAAATAATTTTTTTATTAATATAATTATTTTTTTTAAAGTAATTAGTTATTTTATAAAAATGTGTGATAATTTTTTTTATTTTTAATCAATTAAAAACTAACTTATTAATCTCTTAATCCTCATATTAAAGAAAATATATATTTTAAAATATAGATCAAAATAATTAATTTATTTTAATATTTAAAAATAGTGACCTAAATTTATATAAGACATAACCTATAATTCAAGTTGACCTAAGACTATAAATTTATATTTAATTTGACTTATGTTAAAATAATATTATTTAAAAAATCAAATTTAACTTAAATATAACTGTTTCATTCATTTTTAATTAAAAAAACAACTACGATAAAAAATATATATATATATATATATATATATATATATATATATATATACAATATATATTATATAATAATTAAATATATTTATTATATTTTATCATCATATTATATATTTAAAATAATATAAATGAGTGAAATTTCTATTTAAGATATATATAATAATAATAATATATAATAAAAATATTTAATTATTTATATATTTAATTTTTAATTTTTATATTAATTTTAATCATTAAAATATTTGTACAAGTTTGTTTTTTAAACTAAGACAGCTTGTCAAATATTAAATATAATTAGTTATTTAAATATAATTAGTTATTTAAACATGTAAATATAATAATTTTTTCAATTTTCTAATAAAAATATTAATTGATAATAACAATTTAAAAATTATTTATATAATTAAATGTATATTTTTAAAAATACATCTAAGCAAATTTTATATATAAAAAAATTATTAACTGGTTAAACTGTTAGTCTCCAATCTATAATTTAACGGATGGACTATAATTTATAATTCATTTTAATTATAATAAATTAATTTATCCTATCCCATTTTTACTGTTCTAAAATAAATTATTAGTAACATTTTTATGTATGACAATTTTAACTTACTAGAAAGGCACTATTTTCTATTGTAAAAAAAATTATTAGTACCATTTTTATTTAACCGTTGTTTGAGAACATTGCAACAAATGCGTGTAACATTCTATGTAATAGTTTGTTAGCTTTGTCGAGTGTCTCTCAAGCTTTAAGATCCCTCCATGAGTTTTGAGGACTCCCTCAAACCATAAGATTTATTAATATTTTTCTGTGTCGTACTTTAAACACAATTTACAGATGATGTTAGGTATGTAGCATAATCAATTTTTATATTAATCATAATAAAAAATTACTTTAAATAATTTGTTTAACAAATATTATTTCACTTTAAAAAATTAGTTTTAATTGATATTAATCAAAATTATTTTTAACTAACATTAATTAAATTATTAGTCAGAATTATTTTTTTGACTAATAATTATTTTTATGATTTATTGATTAATATTTATAAATCTATTTTTTCCGTCAGTAAATCATTATTTTCTTAATTGATGTTATATTATTATAAATTTTCACATTTTATGAGAATATTTTTATAAAAAGTTTATACAAAAATTACTATAAATTTAAATATTTTTTTATAAAAAATTTACAAAAAATATTTAGTTTTTTTTAGTAATGTTAGTGTAATCTTGACAAATTTGGAAAAAATTAACTTGATTAAAAATAATCACTAAAATTTTTTGAAATAACTTTTTAATTATAATTTTATCTAAATAAATAAGAAATTTTAAAAATAATAAATTTAAATTATTTCATTAAAATAAAACATTTAAAAAATTCAACTATTTAAAATAAAAGTAATTTAAATATATATATATATATATATATATATTATATTTATTTTTCATGAAATTTTTAAACTGTGATTTCCTAACTCAAAGCCATCAAAAGGTTTTAGGGTTGTAACATCATTTAACAAAGTTGCAACTTTTGTTTTTCAAATGTATTGTATATGGGTTAATAATCATAAACTTTTGCATTAATAAGGCTCAGAAGAAACACAAATTGGTAATCGACATTAGCCAGAGAGGGAGCGGAAGAAGATAATGGAAAAGAAGCGGAAGAGGAAGCAGCAAGTGGAGCGCGCCAAAGAGCCAACGCCCAAACCGGTTCGTGTTGATCCAACTCGAATCGGCAATGTGAAAGATCCATTCCCATTTCACTTTCGACCCACCCCAGAAGAATGCGAAGCCGTACGAGACACTCTCTTAGCCCTACACGGCATTCCCCCGGAACTCGCCAAGTACCGCAAACTCCAACCACTCGATGAGACGGTCCAACCGGAGCCACCCGAGCCCGTTCTCGACGGTTTGGTCCGAACTGTCCTCTCGCAGAACACTACTGACGCCAATTCCCAAAAGGCCTTTGCTTCTCTCAAATCCTCCTTCCCCACTTGGGAACATGTACGTATCAAACGTAGTCAGTTTGTAATCGCCTGCTTTAGTCTTGTTTTGCTGTCGGGTTTGAAACGGTGCGTTTTATGTGTTGAAGGTTTTCGGTGCTGAGTCCAAGGACGTGGAGAATGCCATTCGATGCGGAGGTCTTGCCCCGACTAAGGCTTCCTGTATTAAGAACGTGCTGCGTTGTTTGCGCGAGAGAAGAGGCCAATTGTGTATGGAGTATTTGCGAGATTTGTCCGTCGATGAAGTTAAGGCTGAGCTGTCCCTTTTCAAAGGAATTGGTCCCAAAACAGTATTCTTCTTTTTCTTTAGTTCTACTTGCCTCTTCACTTTGCAGCTGCTCACCTAATGTTCATGCATTAAAATCTCAACGTTTTGCAGCTCTGTTAAAACTAAATGGTCAGATATACGCAAATGATGAATAGTTTTGCTCTTTCATATGGGTTTTTCCTCGCACTCCTGGATTTGGTATCATGGTTCCATGTTGGCTGGTTGGGGTTATTTATCACATGTTATTTTAGTCATCTGTATCTTATGTCATTGTCATTTGTTAGGACTTGGGAATTGGAATTGCTTTTGCTAGCATCCCTAGGAAATATGAGTGACTTCATATTGCTATAGATTTTTGTAGATCAAGCCACCTGGTCTGGTGACAGCTTACAATATTTCATTCCTGGCTACATGTAGATCTTTGTTGTGATACCTTCTTAAATTGCAGTGTTTCCCTTTTCAGTATACCGCATATCATGGCAATTTTTAGTATCTGAATGCTTTCCTTTGATTCTTTAAAAAAAAATTCCTCAAACGGGGCTGCCTTGAATCCTTGTGAAAAGCGAGATATAAAAATGTGAATTGTGGCACATGATGTTGTTTCCCTCGCAGTCAGTTTTCTGTTCTTAATCTATTTTCAATTTAATGCTTATTTCAGTACTTTGTTTCCCATTCACAGTCAACTGTTATCCAAAATTTTTAATTGATCTCAAGATATCCATACATTTTATCTGCAAAAAAAGTGGCATCCGTGAGAAAGTTATAAACATCCATCATAGTGGTTTTTTTATCAATGATGTTGATTTTCTATTTTTTAACGTAGTTATGTGGCTCGGTTAAGTGGGGCTCAAGTATCTCAATGTCACAGTAAAATTATTTTTCACGTGCATGCATGTGTGACCATGTTTTGGCAACAATAGGTAGTATATGAACTCAAGGGCAGAGATAACACGCACAATATAGAGAGATAATAGAGAGCAGCTTCAGTAGAGAATGCAAATGGTCCTACGGGCCACTCAACACACTGAATTCAAGTCCTTTGAGATATCAGATAGGATTATTTAGGGTACAACAAGCTTAATTTGGACGTTATGTGATTACTACTAATGGCCAGGCAATAGCTTGTAGGTTTCGCATTGAATTCCCTCTTGCAGTACCTGTCTTCGCCCAATGGAGTAAAATAATAAGCCTTTTTGTCACCGTATTGCTTATTTGGTTGAAATATGAAAAAAGTCTCTCCTTATTGGAACACTGTTTTCCTTAATTTGTTTTATGAGGATGATAATTCTCAATTTGAAATGAGAAAAAGGCTTTCCCTGTTTCCCATTCTGTTTGAGATATCATGGTACCTAGCATTCAGACCTTTGTAAGTGTCCAGGCTACTATCTACTTGGGGCAGATTAATCATGGCCTGTGTTATTCATTGGATAATTTATTGTGTTTTTATTGCATCTTCAATAAGTAAAATAATGTAAAAATCTGTAAACCCAATTGAACTAAAATTTGTATGCCCTTCCCCCCTTTGTTTTGGTTTCTCTAAGCTGCGGGATCGATTGTAGGTGGCTTGTGTGTTGATGTTCAATCTTCAGCAAGATGATTTTCCTGTTGACACTCATGTAAGCATGATTTCACCTTTTACTCTATCTCATATTTATAACACTTGATTCACTTGAATATGTATGCAGATATTTGAGATTGCAAAAACCATGGGTTGGGTACCAGCTGTGGCAGACAGAAATAAATCGTATCTTCATCTAAACCAAAGAATTCCAAATGAACTTAAGTTTGACCTGAATTGCCTTATGTTTACGCACGGAAAGCTTTGCCGCAAATGCTCCAGTAAAAAGGGTAATCAGCAACGAAAGAAATGTGACGATAACTCCTGCCCTTTGTTGAATTATTGTAAAGAGTCAGATTGAACTTTGAGTTGGGCAAACAAATATTTTCAATTTTTTATTCTCAAACTAAATGAAGTCAATATGTATACTCTAATCTTGTAACACAGAAAGAATACTAGTAATTTAGACTTAGGCTGTTAGGCAGAGGAACAATTTTGGTATTAGATGAACGAATGGCTAACAATTGTGAGCTAATGCATGATGTACTTGCAGGGATTATATTGTCTAAAACTTGTCCATCTTTAATTTTCAGAAGTGGTGTTGCTGGAAAATGGATCATTTTGTGTATCTCTCTCTTAATGGACATTAAACATGCAGGGTGTACTTAATGAGTATAAGATGGTGCTATGCCATTCGTTTCTCAGAAATAAAAGTATAAGCCGCAAGTATTTGTTGCCATCGACGACTTATGGTGATTGAGAAGTAGATGAATCGTAATTATGTGGATACATTTCATCATTACATGTAAATATTTTTCCTGGTTTTTTAGCATTTAGCTGGCTGGGTCTATAGGTTTAATTTTTCATGTAAATATTTGAATCTTGTAGTTTTTAATTATATTTCTTTGTGACCTAAAAGATGAGATTTTGAGTTTAAATACGATGAATTATAAACTCATAGAATAGATTGGCAATATTTGATGCTAAACACAAGTGACAATAATACAAAAATTAAAATATAATAAAAGCTGGTCTTATACATTTCAAAATTCTAATATAGTATTTGATGTGCAGTGATAGGTGTTTTCTTTCTATGTCTAAAATACATTAAAAAATAAGAAAATTTGCTCAAAATCTCCATTTATAACGACATTCATATATTATCTAATTTAAAAAATATGACAGTATTCTTTATCACTTTTAAATAAAAATTTATTCCATTATAATTTTTAATAAATGAAACTCACCTTTTTATATTTTTTTTAATAAAATTACACACTTTTTATTTTATTTATGAAAACTATTAAGAAGATAATATATTTATTTATTTATTTAATGAATATTTCTTAGACAAATAATTATTTAAAAGAAAATAATGCACATGATACCAAGCGTCTACTGTATTTTGACAAGAAATACGTAAGTACCAAAAAATGAAGCACTGATCAGATCTTACCCGGTCCTTGTTCATTCACCGCGACAGCGTATCATAATCCACTACTCTTCTTTCCCTTTTGTTTCAAAGCGAAGTCCTCAAATCCCATGTTTCCTCGTCGCCATTCCACAACATGTCTTCTTCTTCTTCTTCTTTTCTTCCTCGTGCTTTCCGACTTCTCCATGTCCCAATCACAACCCCCCTGGGCTACCAAGAAAAAACGAATGAAAGAGAAAGTTCGCAATATGTATGTAAATATCACCTCCGATTCCTTAGTCTTTTTCACATTTCAATTTAATAGCTAGTGATCTCTTTTTCGGCAATGATTAGCACATGCATCAAAGTTTCGAGTTAGGTACGGGGAAAATACATTATGAAAACGAGGCTTAAGTTTTCCTAGCTGAATCCAAGGTGTATTGTACTTATTGATTGTTTTATGTGTTCTGCAACTTCAATCCTTGAATTATACTGATATTGAGTTTTACAGAAGAGGCAAAGAAGGTGGTAGGAATTTCCATAAGTAATCTTTGAAGTAGGCTGAGTAATATTTTCTTCCCTGGCACTTGGCAACAAATACTTACTAATGTTGTTGGTTTATGGTACTCATGTTTGTAGGTTTTACCACGCATATGACAACTATATGACTTATGCATTTCCGGTCAGTTAATGTTGTTATTTGTCATTTTTTTTATTAAATATTAAAGTACAATGGTGTGCAATATTAAGATTGTCATATTCTTGCAGCATGATGAACTTAAACCTCTCTCTAAAACCTTCACTAACTCCCTAAGTGAGTTAGGAAATTTGAAGGTAATGACATCTCTATTTAAGAACAGAAGAGGAAAATTGGTCAGAAAACTGTGGAAATAATTGTTTACTGCTGCAGCTTGAACATTTGCCTCAAGACTATAATGGTTCTGCCCTTACACTTATTGAATCGCTGTCTAGGTATGTGTATCCAGCTACTACATGAGTTGTTAGTTTATGTAATTCTGTTTTTATTCAATTTGTCCATTTTATGATGAGTTCATGCTGTGTATGTTGTTGAAGTGGAAACTGATATATATTTCTCTTTTTTCCATCAGCCTTGTTATTATGGGCAATAACACTGAATTTGAGAGGGCAGTACTTTGGCTTTCAGAAAATCTGACATTTGATGTTGATGCTCGCATAAATCTTTTTGAGGTAAATGTTTGATTTGGTTGAAATTATTGAGTCTAGACTTTTGTGCAGTTTGCTCAAAATTTGAAATGGTGGTTACTTTAATTTTCTTCGGAATGATATTGAAAAATATTTATTCTAAATGCCTCAATTGTGAAGCACTATAATATTTTCCTTATCATCTGATTGTAATCATTCAGTGCAACATAAGAGTTCTTGGAGGACTTGTCTCTGCTCATTTACTTGCATCTGATTCTTCAAAGAAGTTGTTTCGAGGGGCTTACAAAAATCAGCTGCTAGTACTGGCTGAAGATTTAGGGAAACGCTTTCTTCCAGCATTTAATACGGCTACTGGATTGCCATATGCATGGATTAACCTGAAGGTACTAGAAATACATAGAGCATTCAAAGTGTGTCATTCTGTAAATCTTTTATTTAGAGCGCAAGACCTCAGCTTATAAGTTATTTTTATTTAATTTAGTTGTAAAGTATTTGAATGTTTGAAGAAATAAGTTATTCAAGAAAAATTCCTTCCTCCTCACCATTTGAGCTGAAGCGAAGATGTAAAAAGGGTAAGGAGTGATCATAATCACTCTTTTTAGTAAAGAGCGGCTATTGTTGGTTCTTATAGTACTTGAGAAACTTATTTAGGGTTTCAACACAGTGTCTAAAGGCATTGTTACATTATATTTATAGATAAAGGAGATACAACAGAGAGGATATGGGCCTCAGCCCAAACCTTTAACCCTAGTTTAAGGAACATACACCGGGAATACAAAAAGATAGAAAAACAAGTTGGAGCATATAGATTGTGTGCACCAAGCTTGGAACAAATGAACTGAATCCTAGGAGCTCTCAAGGATTTAGTTAAAATGTTTGTCAGTTGCTCATTGGAGCTTACAAATTCAGTTACAAGTTCCTTAGGCACTAAATTTTCTCTAACAAAGTGACAATCAATCTCGATATGTTTTGTTCTTTCATGAAAGACTAGGTTGGAGGCAATATGGAGAGTTGTCTGATTATCACAAAACAACTTTATCTGCCCATTATCACAAAATTTTAATTCTTGAAGGAGTTGTTTGATCCACACAAGTTCACATGTAGCAAGTGTCATAAATATATACTCACCTTTTGCACTAGATCGAGCAACAACACTTTACTTTTTACTCTTCCAAGAAATCAAATTTCCTCCAATAAAGATACAATACCCAATAGTAGATCTTCTATCAATGGGACAACCAACCCAATCTGCAATAACCTAGAATTTGAGTATTATCCTTATCTTCATATAATAATCCTTGTCCTGGGGCCCCTTTAACATATCTCAGAATGCAAATCAAGGCATCCCAATGATCAGTACAAGGAGGTTGAAAAATATTCTTTGGTATTATCACTTTTGAGAACTTTAATTATCTTCCCAAATTTATTTTTAATTTCATTAAAGAAGGACACAAGAATGGACAAAATTTCATATCTGTCTTTCATTAAATAAACCCAAGTACATATGGAAAATTCATTAATAAAGGTTACAAAATAGCGAAGCAAAACGAAGAGACACGACTCGGTATCCAAACATTAGAATGAATATTTGAAAAAGGAAAAGTGGATCAAGTTTCAAAGTGTTTAGGAAAGGTATACCTAACATGTTTTCCTAATTGGAAAGATTCACATTCTAAATCCCGAAGATGTTTGAGATTAGGAGTTATCACTTTCAACTTCGATAAACTTGGGTGACTCAGACGACCATGCAAAAGTTTAAGAGCAAGAGAAGCAAGACATGACACTAAAGGACATGGATTTAGATAGTACAAACCACGTGATTCATGTCCTTCTCCAATCAGACGACCCGTACCATGTTCCTGAATAACAAAAGAATTGGAATTAAATGTTATAAAACAATTCAGAGAACGAGTCAATTGACTTGGAGAAATCAAGTTATAAGGGCAATTAGGAATGAAAATAACATAATTTAAATTCAAAGAAGGGATTAAAAGAACATGGTCAATTCCTTATGACTTTACTTTAGATCCATTAGCCACAATAATCAGATGAAAAATTTTAGGATAAGGCATGGAGAAAAATGAGGAATTGTTACCAGATAATCAGAAGCACCTGAATAAAAAATCCATGGGTTTTGACCTTCTACAGATTGAGAAATGCAAACTGTTGAAACACTAGGCATGGAAGAAGATTGACCCTGGCTATTGAATTTTCCTAATTTGAACTTCAAAAACTCTTTATACTCCTCATCAAAGATTTTCATATCCGGTTTTTCAGACTTGGAAACATGGGTAGTGGTATTCCTGTCAGGAAAACCGTGTAAGGAATAGTAGTTTTCTTGCGTGTGCCCCATCTTCTTGCAATAGGAACATTGAGGATGACCTTTTGTACTCCCACGTCCTCCTCGACTTTTACGTCCTCCTCCTCAATCACGAGGAACAACCATAGCTGAAATTTTAACGGTCTCCACCTGATTCTCGTTTGTCATAAGATTGGAAATTTGAATTAGCCTTGTGACAAGATTTCCATTGATGGAACCTGATCACCAACTAAGATTTGATCACGTATATGATCAAAATCAGAGTGCAGACTCCTCAAAATTAGGACCATATATAACTTATCTAGTTTGGAGTTTAACTCCTCTAAGGTATTTTCCATAAGAAACCTTTTTAATTCCTCCATAGCGGCCCTAGCTTTGGCAATGTGAGACATCATGATTTGTCTGTTTGAGAGACGTCACTCTTTGAGTTGCATCAAAGAGACGCTGAATATCGTTAGCAAAAATGTCTTGAGCTTTTTTCCAAAAGGAAGAGTAGATTTTGAATGACCTGAGAAGCTCAAGAACCTCAGGTTCCACAGACTGTCATAAGATTGCATAAAGCTGGGAAGTCTATTTTCTCCCACTGAGATCTCTCTGAGGCAGAAACAGAGTTCACATCTTTCTCCAGATGGTCATGATACCCCTGACCTAGAAACCATAGTTCAAATGATATAGAGCAGGATAGATAATTTTTCCAGTTGAGTTTGGCACTGGTTATGGTGGGAGTAGCAGAAAAAGAAAAAGCACTAGATAAAGTCATTTATTTGAAACAGAGATGAAAGATAGACCAAACCAATAGGCTAGCCATGTCACCTACCTTCCAAAGTTCTCAAAACAGAAAAATAAGGGCACTACTGGACTCGGAGGGTGTCGGCGAGTCAATCGGTGGTAATCGACCTTGATTTCGGCCACTGGAGGGCGGCGCGTGTCCCACGCGCCTAGAAGCTCCGCCTGGAGAAGATGCGCATGATAGCACGTGTCGCAGATGGAGGAGCGATTAGCGGGGTGGGTCGCGTTCTTCAAGGCACACCAAACCCTACCTTCATCAGACCAAACTGAGACGGAGGCCAGAAATGACAGGGATGACCGGAAATCAGTGCGGGATCGTACCTACTCTAATACCAACTGGAGAAACTTATTTAGGGTTTCAATACAGTGTCTAAAGGTACTGTTACATTGTATTTATAAATAAAGGAGATAAAACAAAGAGGATATGGGCCTCAGCCCAAACCCTTAATCCTAGTCTAAGGAACATACACATGGAATACAAAAAGATAGAAAAACAACATGTCTCAACAATAGTAATAATAGTTGTATAAATTAATTAAGGCTGTAATTTAAATTTGATATGAAAGCATCTTTATCATTGTTTATCCTATCCCTCTACTCCTACCAATTATCTTGAAGAAATTCATTATTTCTTTCTTTTCCAATCGCATGAAAATAATAAGATGTTTATTTTGTTCTTTTTTTGACAATCTTTTATCTCTAGGAGACCTATAAGTAGGATTTGAATCTAGATGAAATTGTAGGATTTGAATCTAGATGAAGTTCTAGTCATCTGTCAGAGAAAAAAGAACGAGTAGCTCTGGATTAATGGAATCTCATCATCCATACATAAGGAATTGGTCAATACCAACCCCTAATACATGATCCTTTCAGGATATCATATCCTTTTCTCTCACGCTGCTTTACGTTTCCTTCCCTGTGTCACATTTCCTTGTCTGTGTCACATTTCCCAGCTTGTTTTCTCCTGTCCACCACAGCTGCTGTCTCTAGATATTGCTCTCCCATTGTCATGTGAACAAGCTGAGCTCTTCATTGGATTCATCCACTTTGAGGGGCGGGGGTATGAATTTTTAGGTTCATCAGCCCCTCTATGCTCTCCATTGATCACTACCAATGTTCTGGGATGAAACCGTGCACCAGTCAACCCCATCTTGTCATTAAATTCCTCTCTCCACATATCGACTTGTCTTCTGTATTCAGTTCTACCACAATCCATTGTGTTTTGGTTCCACCACTCCAAGAGGCTGTTTGAACTTGTCTCTGTTGTGTGTGGTGGCAATCTTTGGCTCTGTTTCTGTCCATTGGTCCTGTTGCTCTGTGTGTTATTCTGTTCCATCCATGCTTGTTTGCCTTCCTGTCTGTTTGGCTCTGTTTTGTCTTCTGTTTATATTCCTACGTGAATTCACATATTATGTTTGTGTATATACTTGCATAACATCTACTTGCAATGTTCACAGCACTGTTTGACAGTTTAACTTTGGCTCTGGTAGGGCTGTTGGTTGACGTGTAATGAGCCATTTTCTAGTCCACTCAAGACAAATCAAGTTTTTCCCATTCTATACTCGTGTTTCAAAGTTTTTTCTCTCCTGAATTCAGTTTGAGATTATTCATGTTGTTTAAAGCTTCTAAATCTGTTTTGATAAATTTGAAAAAAGCTTGGGACCCACTGAATATTTCTAATGATGTTTTCTCTCATATTTTGCATCTTTCTAGCAATGTCTCTTCTCCTTGGCCATGCAACAGTCCAATCATATCTTCAGATTGTGCATCATTTTGTCATGTTGTCTCTTCAACCATCTGGTTTATGAACTTTTATTACCTTCCTTGTTCAATGTGATTTTTGTAACAAGTTAAGGGCTTAATAAGCTTTAACTTCACAGGTTTTATGAGTCCAACCATGTTAGGAATGTAATTTGGCTGGCTTGTAATAGCTGTACTGCACAAGTACATGATCTAGGCCCTAATATATTAGTATAAAAACTAGCATTAGGTTATATATCTCTTTTCTTGATTCCATTGATTCTAAAAGTTAACTTTCACATTTCTGCGCTAGATCACAAGTTAGGACAATGACATGATGCAACTAAATGCGATAACAAATATATAGATGTCTAATCTTATATGCAACATTTACTTATATTTTAAAAGCAAATTATACGTTAAAATTAAGTTCATTGATAAAGTAATAATTAGTTTTTAAATTGCATAGAAATCTATATACTTGATATACTTAAAGAGAACCTTAAATCCAACTGTTGAATCACTTAATATTCATAAAATAGTTACTTACTGAAATTAGTTTGGCAGGATTTACTCTTTGAGTAAATAAATCCCCCACCTATACATACATCAAAGACTTTAGATAATAAGATGTTAATCTTGTACTTGAACCATGTTGCTTCAAATATTTAGGCATAGAAAATTTATAAATTATAGTCTGCTGCATTTTCTTTGTACTCTTTTAGAATGATATATAACTCCGCACCAATGCAAAATATTCTGTACACAGTATGGAGTAATGGAGAATGAGACTACAGAAACAAGCACTTCAGGGTGTGGTGAGAGGTCTAGCTTAGTGTTTTAAGACTAGGTTGTAGTAAAATGATTTTAGTTGCTTCTAATTTTCCATCTTTGTGCAGGTTCTCTGATTCTTGAAATGGGTGCATTATCAAAAATGACTGGTGACCCCATATACGAATCAGTAGCTTTACGAGCTCTTCGCAAGCTATGGAGTATGCAGAGCTCATTAAAGTTATTTGGAACCACGCTGGACGTGGAAACTGGGCAATGGATTGAATATTCTTCAGGAATTGGAGCTGGTAGGTTAACTCCGACCCTGAAGCAGAACTGGGATATTTCAATAATTCAGTTCATTGGATACGCAGCATAGTATCTACATGTTTATTGTCTGTTGAAAGTATTTGATATATTTAGTCATTATAAATTTTCCAATGGTAATGGCTGGCCTTGATGTTTCATATGTTGGATTTTTTCCCTGGATTATTCTAGGGGTTGATTCCTTCTACGAGTACCTACTTAAAGCCCATATCCTTTTTGGAAAGGAGGACTTTTGGAAAATGTTCCATTCTGCTTATGTTGCTGTGCAGAAATATTTCAGACATGGTCCTTGGTATCACACTTACTATGAAAGTCTTTGCCTTTTGTTATTCTGCCTACGAAGTATTTTTATGCAGTACTTGAAAGATACTGATTGGAGAATGTGATAACAGTTGTAACCTGGACTGGTTGGCCTAATGCAGGTACCATGAAGCTGATATGAGAACAGGAAAAGCAACTTATTGGCAGCTTACAAGCCTTCAAGCATTTTGGCCTGGCCTACAGGCTAGTAGCTGGACTTTGAATTTTACTCAGTTAAAAAAATTATGTTTGATATTTTTCTAAGTTTGTAATTGCATATGGCGTATGGAAATCAGGTTCTTATTGGGGACGTTAGTGCTGCTAATTCATCTCACCGGGAATTCTTCCATGTGTGGAAGAGATACGGAGTGCTACCAGAGAGGTATTTTTTTAATTTTACTAGTTTCATTATAACATTGGTCTCTTTGTATTTTGCCATCAATCTGTCATTAGGCTTTTGTTCTTACAGTACTATATAATATATCTATCACATTGAATCATAAATCCATGTAAAGGTATTTGCTGGACCACCAGATGATTCATCCTACTGAAAAATATTATCCCTTACGTCCTGAATTGGCTGAGTCAACATTCTACTTGTATCAAGCTACTAAAGGTTTGATAGTTCTTCCATCTTTTTATTTTAAGTTTGTTGATATTGAGGAATTAGATTTGACAGCTTAAGTAGCGATCTCTTAAAAAGATTGGTGCACATGTAAATACTTTTTTCAATGATAAAAAGGGTGTCAAACTCTAAACTTATGAGGATATGTATTAGGAAACTTTTAAGTCAAATAATCTGGCAGCTTGGCTTGTTTTCATGCTGCATTACAATATTACTTGATCTAGAGTTTTAGTATAAAAATGAGTTTTATATTGGTATCTTCTACCAACACAACATCATAATATCACAACTATTCAATTTTATTAATGAAATGTATTCTCCTTTAAATTTAATCTCTATAACATCAATAGAGAGAATCCTATCTGACCAATGGTGATTTAATCACATCAACCTTTATTGATTCAGATCCATGGTATATTGAAGTCGGTGAATCCATCGTCAATTCCCTTAATTTATACACCAAAGTTGAAGGTGGATTTGCAAGCATTAAGGATGTGACAACTATGCAGTTGGAAGATCACCAGCATAGTTTTTTTCTTGCTGAAACGTGAGTCCTTCTCTTTCCTCTTGTATCATGCAGAAGTTAAAAATTACAAAACAAAAAATAAGCAAATGGGAATGTTGCTCAAATAAATTGTATTTGAGATTTTCTGATTATTGATCCTCTGTTTTCTTTAGGTGCAAATATTTATATCTTCTATTTGACGATTCATTTGTACATGAGAATAATTACATATTTACCACCGAAGGTCATCCTCTTCCAGTACTCGGCACTTGGCATGAAGAGCTTCCTGAAGCTTATGTTCCAACTAATTGGACTTTTGTGAAGGTATTTTAGCAATTTACTGTAGTGCTTGTAGATTTCTCTTAAACTTTCCCTTATTTGCAAAACGTGTCCATGAATCTTTAAAGTTGTCCCAATTAGTCCGTAAACTATAACAATTACATCATTAGATCCCTTCCATAAACTTCTCCATAAACATTTCTAGGAGAAGAAAATAAAAAGTAAAAATTGAAATAAACTTTTGTATTGAGTAAAATTAACATATGCATAAGCTAATAAATCATCTTTTAGAGAAGCTATTATGAGAGCTTCTACAAATTTGTTTTGTGTATAAATTAATTTTAGCTAATGGCTTTAACTTCTATTTTTTCTCCTTACTTTCTTCTCATAGAAGTGCATTTGATGAAATTTATCCAATCAAAGCCTTGATCTATCTGATTGGTGATTGAATGTATAGATAGCCTGTACAAGATAGCGGGGCATAGTAGCTGGTTTAAAAAACACTGTAACGATATGGGAAACACTATCCCTAAATGTATGCTTATACTTTTGATTGAGAAATCCAGGGAAGAGGTTAACTTAAATCTTGAATTTTGGTGACAAACATTGAAATCAAAGAATTTTTGCTTTGAGTAGGAGTAAGATGGAGTATATGCGTAACTATTTTATCTAGAAACAGTAGGATGTTTGGGAAGATGTCATACTACAGGTCTAAGTTTGTTCATAGATTAATATCACTAAATGATTAGAAAATTAATGAAGACATCACTAGGATACAAATTGGGTGGTTGACACAAAAAAAAAAAAAAAAAAAAAAAACTGCGATTTTTTGTGACTACATAGTACTTACCAAACTCAATGGTTTGTATTTTTTATGTTAATATGACCAACTATACTCTGGTACTCCATGTTGAGCTTTAAAAAGATAAGAAAAAAGTTGTACTAGTATAAATGAATATGTTAAGAGATAGATGCGGTTACACAAGAAGGGACATCATATGGAATGATCGTGTACAAGGAGATATTGGATAACACCTGATGAGGAATAACAAAAAAATTGGTAAAGGAGGTTTGAACGTGCGAAGATTAGTGGAAGCATAGATGAGTGAGTGTTGATTGCTTGTATTGTAGTCTTATGAAATTAATGTGGACTACTCGTTAGGACTACTGTATCTCTTTATTTAAATCTTAATTTATTTCAGTTTATTTGTTTCTTTATCTTTCACTATGTTGATTAGATCTGCACATTAGAATACAATCCCTGATTTAAGATCCTTAGCATTATTTATAAATTATGATTCAATTAGTGAACTCTAATGAGATAAAGGATTGTTATCGTTCTCATCTAATGAGATAAAAATATTGTTATTGTTGAACTCTTCAGTTAGTAACTTAATGGCGGGTGGATGAAAGGATAATTAGTGAAATTGTTGTAGTTTAGGGCTAATTTAAACAAGTTAGAGCTCTTGATGCCACTTTGGAAATAGGTAAGAAGTTTATAGCCTTTATATACAAATTTCCGTAAAGCAACACATCTTTTATTTCTGTTTCTTCCTTTCATTTGCACATGATGTTGAAAAAATAAATTCTTAGAATCTTCTTAGCTGGCGCTAAAAAATAGTGAAATATACTAGTATTATTCTTGGAAGAGAACACAAGACTTTTCTTGTTAGTAGTGATGTCCGGAGAGTTGTGTGGTCCTCGCCTACACAAAACACCTAAAAAATGGATATTTATCTTACTGTGCAGAGGCAACCAAGAGTGAGTCGAATCAGTGCAATGTCTCTGCAAGTATGTCCTGCTCTGAATTTAAAGTCAGGTCAACATATTGAGAGTGCTTGCCACATCCCCGATGCTCGTAGTGACTTCAGGTGTTTGACTGATGAAGATTGTGGAGTTGATGCCACTACATGCAGACGAAGATCATGTAGCATGGCTGGTTATTGTGGGTTATGGCTCATCATATGATACCTTGTTTACAGGAATTCTTTTAGGATCAGAAAAGATAAGTGAAAATTTTAATTATACAAAAAATAAATGCAATGGTATTAGAGTAAATTGGTAGATAAACATTTTAAAAGTTTTGTTTGGAAGAGTATTAGCTTTTATTCCGAGGCATGCTTTGACAGTAAGTAAAGATGGTTGAAACATGAGTTCATTGTATTTTTGCCATTACACATGCCTTAATTTGATACAATGAAAAATTGTATTTACTTCCTCTTGCGACTTTGATCCTTTCCACTTTAAATCTACCAAGTTTATCTTTGGCAGAAGAAAAGAGTAATTGAAGCTTGAGTTAAATGACAAAACAAATTATGGCGATTTCTAATTATATTTGAATGTGTATATATTTTTTTACAATTAATAGTAGTTTATCTAAATTAAACTCAATTTGATTAGAGAAACACCGAAGTTTAAAGTAATTTGTTTCCTTTATGAGAATAAAAACTACAAGACGAAATCTAGAAAATCTTCCATTATAATCAATAGGTACTTTCCTTGTCGCTATTAAAGATTAATATGAAAAACTGGTCAACTTGAAAAATTTTCAGAAAATTTAAACGGGAACAGAGATAGTACAATTTATTATTAACATGAAAATTAATTTGAATGTAGACTCGCCTATTATTAAATCGTACAATGAGTATGTGATATGGAAAAGATGCATTGTTTTGGAAGAAGCAAAATTGCTATACACATTTGCACTCACCAACGCATGCACAAGCCATCTTGGTTTTCACGGATTCTATCACATAATATCACTCGTGAATACTCATTAAAATTACGAGGATAAGTGTAGTTATCAATTCTTTATTACCCAACTTTACTCATATTTATAAATATTTAATATGTTATTATACTTTTACGAGCATTAGGTTTTTTATGGTAAACAATTTACTTTGAGTTTTTTAGTTAGTCTATAGTGGGTTCACCACATATACATTATTACATTTAATTACTTTACTATTAAAATATTATTTATAAGTAGTATTATTATTTTTAATTCTTAACGAAGTCAAGTAGAGAGAAATATAAAGAAAGATTCCTTAATTTGAGCAACTCTTTTACTCACTTTATTGGAGGAGTTCTAACTTCATAAAAATAACTTTTAAATATTATTTTATTGATCTAATCTTACAATGACCAGAGTAAAAATTCTAATTATCAATATGTTTTTGTTAGGAATGAAATTATATTTGGATTTCTTTAATAAAGTTTTAAATTTAAATTTTATGAATACAAAATATTGAAAGAGAAACTTATTAAAAATATTAGCGAAAATCTTGAGTAAAATTTAGTTATATTGAACCAAAAAAAAAAACAGTATCATCTTCTAGCATTTTTCTTTCTTTCTTGGTTGGAATTGGAATACTTTTTAGTTGACAAACATTGTTAATAGGCTATCTTTTCAATTGCAAACTGATGAATAATGAAATTAATCGAGAACTTAATATTCCATAAATATTGATGAAAACAAAACTATTGTTTATGGAAGTAAATAATACATTTCAAAAAAGGAAATCAAATGGATATTCGCGCATGGTGATATAAGTGTTAAGTCCGTGAAGGACAAAATTGTAATATGAATAAAAATCAACATAATTTTTTTTTCAATTAATTTTATTAAATGAATAATTTAACTTTTTGAGAAATAAGGATAGGGACATATTTTATAAGTAAATCATTCTCTCACAATTTTGTTATAAAAGACACACCTCAATAGATTTAAAAAAAATGAACTATTTATTCTCTTAAACGATGAAAAAGTGTTTAAACTAAATTTGTTATTTATATATTTTTATTATAATAAAAATATCTTATATAAATTACAACTTTTTAATATTCTGTTTGTTATTTTAGATGCAAATGGATTTAAATTGATTTGCGAGATAAATGTTTTCTGGATCACGAAAAAAAAAACTAAAATTTGATTATAGTTCACTCATTCACGCATGAATATCTCAGAACTCAAAAGAAAGTTAGATTAATTATGAATAAAAAAATCAAATTGTTCATATTTCACATAACAATATATACTCTTTTGAATTGATCAGAGTCATACTCTTTTCTTCACATTCCCCATATATAATAACCTAAGCCTTCTTCATTGTAATTAAATCATTTATACATTATTTTTTCTCACTTTAAATAATTTCAGTTTTTAATAACTATTTTTTTCTTCTTCACTTTCAATCCCTCGTTCAAATAAAGACTAAAATCAAATTGAACGGAAATAATTTTATAAAATCACTTTTATTTATTCTTCTGTTACCAGAGTTTATCCTTGTTGTTCTCACCGACTCTTGGGATAAGGATGGAACAGAAACCGATGACACTCCTTACAGCCTTCATCCAGCTGTATGCAATTCATCTTTTCACCTCATCAACTTGGATTTTATTTCCATGCATTCAACCATGTTGGACTATTTTCACCCTGCTCTTCAAAATATCACATTCTTCACCAAAATTTGCACAAGCTTTTTTGGTATCTTATAAATGAAACATGTTTCTTAATAGTATAAATAAAAGGATAAAATTTTGTGCAAAATTACTAGTATCTAAAAATACTTCAACTCCAATATTTTCTTACAGTACCATCTTAATAATTCTCTTATTTTAAAGCATTAGATTGAAATAGACATATATTTAATGTTAAAATATGAAAAGTGTTATGTCTTTATTTATAGTACAGAAGATGTTATTTATGAAAAAGAAAAATTACATGCTGATATACTGTACTGGACCGGCTCCCACTATGGCAGACATTGACACGTCAAACATAACTTTTTCTTTCTGGCATTTCGTAGATTAAAATCTCTTTAAAAGTAGGCTTGTAAATTGCAAAAGATTGGGCTATTTTGGTATTTTCAAGCTGCAAGGTTTTACTTTTTTACTACCCTTTTGCCTTTATAAATGCTAGCAAGTAGAGTTAGTAAATCACGGACAATTGAATTCAAACATTCTAGCAATTGCATGTACTGTTTCTGCTGCAATGGCATTACGCGAGCTTTTAGTGATGGGGATATTGCTGCTGGTTTGTCTTGCTAAGGTGCACAAATTAGCATCACCTTTGTCTTTCAGACATTAAATTCTTCAAATCAAGTTCTTTTTGTTCACGTTCAGGTAAAGATGAGAGTTACCATTTTCCCTTTTTTTTTTTTTTTTTCCTTGTCGTTGTTCTGTCATACACAGGTTTCATCCGATGATAACCTGGAAAAGGAAGAAAACGAAGAACTTGGTTTTCCTGATGACCCTGTATGTTCAGTTTTCTTGGCATAATATTAGTCAAAATGTTTCTTAATTTTGTGATTTTCTTATGTGTTTGATGTAAACATATAGATTATCGTGAGGGACGGGAACAGAAGGCTAATGCAAGACATAGGTAAGCATAAGGGAAAGTTTTGTCTATGTTCTGAAGTGACATGAGTAATGAAAGCTTTTGCATGGTGTTGACACAGATTGTGGAGGATTGTGCAAAACAAGGTGTAGTGTTCATTCGAGGCCAAACGTGTGCCACAGGGCTTGTGGCACGTGCTGTGTGAGGTGCAAGTGTGTCCCACCTGGTACTTCTGGTAACAGGGAGCTCTGTGGGACTTGCTACACTGATATGACCACCCATGGCAACAAGACTAAGTGCCCTTAGACCATAACAAGCCCATACAAAGTTCTGGTTCTAGTTTTATTGTAACATATGTTATAAGTACACACTTTTGTATTTAAGGGCATGTGGTGTTAAGATCGTGTTCTGCTTTTTACCTTTCTTATGATGGTATGGTACTGTTTTCTTAGCCTACTACATAAACTTTGTTAATCATGGATCTGGAAAGTAAAGTAATATAATATTGTAATATAATAAATGATATATGGTTGATTTTGTAAATATAAAGTTTTAGGGTTAAATTTCATCATCTATTTTTAAATAATAAATAAACAAACATAAAATTAATTGGGGGTTGAGCTTTTGAGTTTTTTCTTACTGTACCGAAATTTTAAACTTATTATAAACTTAGAATTTAATAACAACACGTGAGCATAAACAATATCAATTTAAGTTATACTCGTATCAATTTATCACATATCAATTTGTTGTTGAATAATTAGTTAGTCCTGCAAAATAATCTAAAATATATTTCCCATAATTTTGTTTTTAATCCTAACATTATCTTACTTTTGCACCTGTATACCTCAGTTGAATACCCTTTCACCTCCATTGAATACCCTGTTCTATATAATATATAATATAATAATATACAATAAGTCTAGACTTCAAACTAATTGGGTAATAGAGAATATAATTGGATTACTAATGATTAATAATTAAAATAAGTACTTACAAATTGTTGAATCTAAAACGGTAATCTTTTTCTTAAATTATTCAAAAACAAAATGAATTCAAAAGTTTTCTGCACCTATATACCTTAATTGAATAACCTTTCAGTATAAATTATATGTTTCTGTGTTAAAATTGTGCACCTATATTCCTTAATTGAATATTCTTTCGGTATGAATTATATTTTTCAGAAAAAAGTTTTTTTAAAACCCATTTGGACAGTATTTTGGAATGCATTTTGGATCAATTATTTTGAAATTGTCAATTGAGAGGAATTTTGATCCATGCCTCTTTTCTTAATCATTAATTGTGTTTATTTTAATCATTGTATTTATATAGTACTCAATTATTAATTGTGTTTATATAGTACTCAATTATTAATTGTGTTTATATAGTACTCAATTATTAAGTGTGCTTATATAATATTATATATGCAACATAAAAAATATTTATATAGTACTCAATTATTAATTGTGTTTATATAGTACTTAATTATTAAGTATGCTTATATAATAATATATATGCAACATAAAAAATATATTTTGAAATTGTCAATTGAGAGAAATTTTGATGCACGCCTCTTTGTTTATATAGTACTCAATTATTAATTGTGCTTATATAGTACTTAATTATTAATTGTGCATAAGCAACATAAAAACTGTCACTTAATTTTATTAATAAGAAAAGAAAATAAAGTAATTTTATTAATAAGAAAAAAAAATAAAGTTATAAAAAATAGTGTCACGTATTTTTACTAATAAGAAAAGAAAATAAATAAAGTTTGGTAGACATGATCCCTGATGCCAAATTTTATTATTGTCAGGTAATCTTTGAGATAAATAATATTTGAGGTAAATGGATCTTCCTTCGAATTTGTTGGGGTCTTGCATTATTTTCTATTTTCTCTTGAATATTCTCTTGTCTTGACAATTCCATTATAATGGACATGTTAGTAAAAGTGAGTCTAACATCTCCTATCTCTTCGAGAATCACCTTGTCTTCAAAGTGAAATCGGGCTTGAATTTGTGTTCAAGGTTTCCAGGTGACCTCTTCCAAAGGAAGGTCTTGCCATTAAATCAAAACTAATTGTTGTGGGGGCATCAGTGTCGAAGGACAACTTCCAATCCAAAATAACAATGGGGGTGAGGACGGGTTGATTGTCTTCAATGTCAAGGGGAAGACAGAGTGGTTGAGGAGAAGAAAGGGGACCCTGGCGAGGCCTGAGAATGCTCACATTGAATACATTATGTATTCTGGTAGTAGAAGGAAGGCTCAATTTGTAGGCTACATCACCTATTATTTTCAAGAACTAGATGTGATCGAAGAATCTTTTCTGCAATTTGCCAAGGTACTGATCAGTAAGAGAGTGTTGACGACGTGTGCGAAGCCTTACATAGACCCAGTCACCGAATTTGAAGTGAACATCATGTCGGTGGTAATCTGTCCAACGTTTCATGGCCTACTATGCTTTGAGAAGATTCCACTGCATTTTGCGAAGAATTTCATCGCGGGGAACTAGTTTCAAACTGTGTTGTAGCATTGGTAGTAGTCATATCCAAAGTTTGAGGAATGTTGTGTGGAAGACGGCCAAACATAACCTCGAATGGAGTGAAACCAGTAGAGGAATTAATGGTGGTGTTGAAACACCACTCTGCCCATGAAAGGAAGTTGCTCCATAAAGATGGTCGGTGATGGACAAAATAACGCAAATACGGTTGGAGGATCTTATTTGCGACCCTGATTTGTCCATCCGTATGAGGATGATAAGTTGTGGACATAGCAGCTTTGCATCACTCAAAAGAAAAAATTCCTGCCAAAAGTGGCTGAGAAATATAGGATCTCGGTTTGAAATTAAGCTCCAAGGAAAGGCCATGTAATTTGTACACCAAATTAGTGAAGAGACCAGTGACCTTAGTGATGGTGAATGTTTGAGGTAACATACCAAAATGTGCACCTTTAGAGAATTGATCCACCACAATCAATATAGTATAGTGGTCCTGAAACAGAGACAGTCCAACTATGAAGTCGAGAGAGATCCTCCCAGTAGTGTGATGGAGGAGGGATAGGTTGTAACAAGCCTAAGGGGCATTGGCTGGGGATTTTTGTTTGATGACAAGTGGTACAGTGAGCAACGAAGGAGAGGACATCTTTCCGCATACAATCCCAATAAAAATTAGCCTTGATTTTAGCCAATGTACAAGTAGCCCCTGGGTGACCAGCCAAAGGGGTTGAGTGAAAATCTTGGAGGAATAAGGGAATCAAGGAACAAGAATTGGGAAGCAAAATTTTCCCTTTATAGAGTATTAGGTCCTGTTTGATGGACAAATCAGGGAACATGGAGGGGTCCTGTAAAATATGACTTAAAATCCAAGAAAGTAGGATCAGAAGCGAGGGTGTACTTAAGGTCTTGGAGAAAAATCATTTGAGACACATAAATGAGAAATAATGAGTCTGCATCAGGTGAAACACGGGAAAGTGCGTTAGCAATAGTATTTGTTGTACCGGGTTTAAAATGTATCTCCAAGTCGAACCCCAATAATTTGGCTACATAGGACTGCTGGTCAAGAGTTAGCACAATCTGAGATAACAATTCCTTGATGGTCTGCTGATCAGTGTAGATGATAAAATGGCGACCGAGCAAGTATTGACGCCATTTTTGAATAACAGATGTGACAACACATAATTCCCTTATGTACGCTAATGAATTACGCATTTAGGACAAAATTGCTTATTGAAAAAGGCAATTGAGTGTTTGTGTTGTGATAAAACGGCCCCATACCAAAACTAGAGGCATGTGTCTGAACAGTGAAAACTAGATCAAACCATGGCAGAGTCAAAACTGGTGCAGAAGTAACAACAGATTTAAGGTTCTCAAAAACCGTAATAGTTGAAGCAGACCAGATAAAGTTATCCGTTAAGGTAGACGCAATAGAGGCATACCCCGTTACCAATCGACGGTAAAACCCTATGAGTCAAAGAAAACCACGCAGAGACTTTAAAGTGGTGGGTAAGGGTCAATCAACGATAGCTTGGAGCTTTGAAGGATTTGGTGTGACAACCTGTGACGAGACTACATATGACCCAAATATTGAATTGATTTTTGTCCTATGAAACACTTGGAACCCTCAAAATGAAAACTATTCGCAAGGTTGCACATGAGGGTTGTAGACAAGAATGTTATCAAAATAGACAATAATAAAATGACGTATGGAACATGTCATTCATGGTAGCCTGAAAGGTAGAAGATGCATTGCACAATCTGAAAGGTATAACCTTGAACTTGAAGTGGCCTTTGTGGGTACGGAACGTCGCGTTTTAGGATAATTATTAGGCAGCATGAGAATTTGATGGAAACCCGCAAAGAGGTCCAGTTTCGAAAATCATGTTGCATTGCCAAGTTTATCCAAAAGTTCATCAATAGTAAGAATCAAGAATTTGTCCTTAATGGTAATGACATTTAGGGCACGGTAATCAACGCAAAATCACCATGTACCGTCCTTCTTCTTGATAAGAAGAACAGGGGAAGAATAAGGACTTGTGCTTGTTGTAATGAATCTCGAGTGTAACATTTTTTTAACCTGAGCTTCAATTTCTTGCTTCTGAAAGTGTGAGTATTGGTAAGGGCGCACTGAAATGGGAGCAGTATTGGGTAAGAGGGTGATGAAATGGTCGGTGTGACAGGATGGGGGAAGGGTGGTTGGTGGGAAAAATATAGCAGAGTAAGTGTTGTAGTTGAGGAAGAGAAGAAGAAGAGATAGTCGTATCAGAGGGCAAGGGAAGTATAGGTGAAGTTGGGGAATGGATGGATGGAGAGAGCTCAAGTGTGAGTTAAAAGAAGACTTCTACTCTATTGGTTTGTTGCAGTTGTTTAAGTTGGTGGGTTGTTATAGGTCTAGGGTTTGGGCCTTGTTCCCCCTTCAGTTCAATCATCTTATCCTCCCACGTAAATCTAATGAAAGGTCCATTGTAATCCATAATGAATGGGCTAACTTGAGTAAGTCATTGGACCCCTAAGACTACATCAGTGTCAGATAGATCTAAGGGGTATAAGTCAATAGGGAATTCAAGAGAGGCTAAGGTAATGTGGGCCTTGGGACACAAAGTAGTGCAAGGTAAAAATTCCCCATTCCCAACCATGACTCATAGTGGACTCAAGTGCAAGGTTAAGAAAATGGGTTACCTTTGTCTGAATGAAGTTATGTGTTGCATCACTATCAATTATGATTTGTAGTGCATAACCGTTAATAGAACTCATGGCCGGAAAGGTTTTAGGGATCCAATAACCTGAGAGAGAGTGGAGTCTGATCAATCCT